CCTCCTCTCCTCCTCCTCCTCCTCCTCCTGCCTCCTCCTCCTCCTCCTCCCTCCTCCTCCTCCTCCTCCCTCCCTCCCCTCCTCCTCCTCATCCTCCTCCTCCTCCTACCCCACCCCTCCTCCTCCTCCTCCCTCCTCCTTCTCCTCCTCCTCCTCCTCCTCCTCCTCCTCCTCCTCCTCCTCCTCCTCCCCTCCTCCTCCTCCTCCTCCCCTCCCTCCTCCTCCTCCCCTCTCCTCCTCCTCCTCCTCCTCACTCCTCCTGCCGCCTCTCCTCCTCCTCCTCCTCTCCTCCCTCCTCCTCTCCTCCTCCTCCTCCTCCCCTCCTCCTCTTCTCCTCCTCCTCCTCCTCCTCCTCTTCTTCGTCCTCCTCCTCGCGTTTTCAACATGAGGGTCTCGCCTCAGCGCCGCGCACTTTAGTTCTCAAAGCCTGCATACGCGTATGATTGTAGGGGCCGTTTTCAAAATGGAGCTCTCGCCTTAGAGTGGAGCGCATTCGTTCTAACATACGGCTGGAATCACAAAGATAGAGCACAGGGCGTTCTCAATGTGGACCTCGCGCCTTACAGCCGCGCACACTCGTCTTCAAATCTTGCGCCAGCTACTAAGACGGAAGGGGGGTCGTTGTCAAAGTGAAGCTCTCGCCGTGGCGCCGCGAACATTTCAACGCTTGCGACATGTACAAGGACGGAGGACGGTCCCTCCTCAAAAGGGGGCTCTCCCTAGACATGCCCTCAACACTCGAGGCCAGAAGCTTGAACATACGAGGTGCACGGATTGCGGGCGGCTCTTTTTGCAACATTCGGCTCCCGCTTGAGGCTTCGCGAAGCTCGTCACAATACATGTAAACCCGCGCAACAATTGCATTAAATGCTGCTTCCGGAACTCGGAAATCCGTGCAAGGAGTGCACGGCCAGGCGGCAAAAGAGGAAGACTCCGTGCTCGGTTCAGGCGGAGCAAAAGGTGGCAGAATAGACCGTGGTCGGCCCCACTGGTCTCGGAGAGATACTTCGTCCCCCCGCTGTAGCTACTCTGGATCTGGAGCGTCTATTATATACTGAGTCGCGCTGGCGACTAATTCTGCTCCAGCCGCCAGGAGACCAGGGGCGGCGGCCTCTAGAAGCCTAAAACTATTGTCCAAAATCTGCACGAGCGCGCCATGGTCGACCCCCCTCTCCGCGAGCGCATCCAGATACGAGGACGTCGTCAGCAGGATGTCGGAGGCATGCCCGACGGTGGCGGTCGCTGCCGCTGCCGCCCCTGCGACCGCCGGGGAGCACGTGGCGAGCACCGCCGCCGCGCCGAGGAACACGGCGGGAGCCGCGAGCGCAGCCGACGTGGCCGCCCACGCGCAGAACTGGCGCTCCGACGCCGACGCGCGCACCACCGCCACAGGGGGGGGCAGAGCGGGCGGCGTCGGTGGCGCGGCGGCCCTCTGCAGTTGCGGCGGGGCCCCCTTTGGCAGCGTCCGCGGCCCCGGGCACGCCGCGGAAGAGGATGCCGATGGTGCTGCGGCACGCCACGGGCCCACCCACGGGCCCACCGCAGGGACGGCGGGCTTCGGCCGGAAAGTGCCTGGAGGCCGGTCGCTCGCCAGGAGGGCTGCCGGGAGTGTGGCGGCGGGTCGTCCGTCGGCGTGGTGCCGGCCAGCGCCCACTCGCAGCCCACGAGCCAGCTCCTGGTCTTGGCCGCATGGCCACCCTTCGGGCTGCTCGCTAGGCAGTCCTGGCGCCAGCCCCCGGCCCTGGACCGCAGCCTGATAGAGGGAGCGCTGCTGGATGCGCCTCGCGTGCTGCAGCGCCTGTAGACGCTCGCGCTCGCGGATCTGCTGCAGCTCGAGCTGCTCGGACAGGCCCAGGCCCCAGAGCAAGCGCTCCACCACCTCACAGGCACTCGAGCACGCGACCACGGCCTGGTTGTGCTGCTCGACCTGCCCTGCGGCGCCCACTAGAGCCCTTAGCCGAGAGATGCGCGCGCAATCGCCGCCGAACACCCGCTCCACGATGTGGCACTCGCTAGTCACGGCCCTCGAGATCAGGTCTCCCGCCTCCATCAAGTAGTCCATCAGGATGTCGCGGAACTGGCAGTAGTCGATATGGGTCGCTGCATCGCTTAGCTGGTGGATCAAGACCACCTCGCAGCTGTCTATGGCAGCATCCAGCTGGATCTCCTGCTGCTCCATCCCGTGCCATGCATTGGCGCCACCGAGGCCGCATCGGTTCTGCGGGACCCGCCTCTGCAGATTGTAGGGAGGCATCTCGAAGGTGGAGTAGGACCCGCCAGTCGCTCCCAGAGCCTGAATCGCATCCTCGAGGGCGTGCTGCGAACTGACGTGCAGGCGCAGTTGCCGAGAGCACCCCTCTAGGTGGCACTCGTTCTTCGTGTGCGCGCGTCTGCGCGCCGCACTGGTTCTAAATTCCAGGAACGCGCTCAAGTCACGGATGCCCTGGTCGCACGGCTTGGGAAAGTGCAGTTTGACCAGCTCGAACTCCTCGAACGCCTCGAGGAGGGCCTGCGGGGTAACGTCGTGGGCGATGCGGCATTTGAGGAGGTGCTTGCTGGATCCCCTGAGGGGGCATGCAAGATCCCAGCGGCCCTTCTTGGACAGCACCTCGTACGTGTCCCTCATGGTGCTCAGAATCCGTTCGCGACCAGCGCGGCTGCACCTCCCAGCCAGATTGTGCCGCAAGTCGAACGGATCCTCGACGTACCACTGCTCTTCGATGACGCGCGTCTGTAGTGTGAACTTATTCACCGACTGCCCTGGCTGGGACTCCCGAATGCACACCGCACAGGACTTCCATTCGAAAGCGAATCCGTAGAAATGGAAAAAGCCGACGAGCAGCTGGCTGACAGTCATCTCGTTGTTCGACTTCTCCAAGCCCCCTATGTCGTCCCAAAACTTGGCGTCCCATGTGTCCTCCATGCCCCACTTGTCACTGTCAACCAGGAAAGGCTCCGTGGCCATTTTTTGCAGGTTGGGCAGCACAGGCGGCGTTGTCTGCTGAAGGTAATAAATTGTGAGGAGCATGAATGCGTAGCTGTTCAAATAGCCATCGGCACTGCCAACCAAGTCATGTCTTTTTGCCCACTCCTTGATGAGCCGGCCCAGTTTCGACACCCGCTGGTCGACCTCACAGTAGCAACCAAGCATCCTTGAGTTCCTAACCCCTAGGTCATTGTTGATGCAAAAGTCCACCTCCGTTTGTGTCCTCACGTCTGTAAACTTCAACAACTTCGTCGACGCCTGGAAGATTTGTGTGACGTTACCGAAGCCACAAGGTGGCAACTGCTCCGCAAATTTGGTCAGGTAGTGCACCGCCTGCTCAGCATCAATCTTACTAACAAGTGCAATATCGAAATCTGATGTTCCGTTTTTGCAGCCATTCGAGAAAGACCCAAACATTATTACTTCTCCGGGGAGTCCGATCTTTTTGGCTATACCTTCCATCGTCAACTTCACGCGTTTCGCAGCCCTCTCTCGTTCCAGCTCATGTGTGTCTTTTTGCAGGACATCCTCGAGCTCTGAGTCCAGTGTGCAGGGCATGGTATTGCTACATGCCTGCATATTATACCTCAGTGTGTATGCGGCTCACAACTGATGGAAGCCACCTTGAGCCAACATGGCTGCGGAGGTGCAGCATTTGCAAACACGAGGGGGGAAACAATCGTTTCAAAACGGGGAGCTCGCTCAACACACCTTTGACCTGGATCATCGAACAAAACTTCCCGTGCCTGATTGCGCGCCGGAAGGATGAGCCGCAGTTCCTTTCCAAGCCGCCAGGAATCTCACCCGAATGGCAGGCTCGAAGGGTGCCAGTGTTTCGGGGGGGGGGGGGGGCGCTTTTCCAGTAGTGGAAAAGAGAGCCTGTTGCGATGTGTGAGGAGGGGCCTCTATGTGGGAGGGTGTATTGCAGCATCGCTGGTGCATACTAGGTTAAATTTGGTCCTCCTCCTGCTCCTGCTCCTCCTGATAATCCGAGGACGCTCCGAGCCTTCTGATGCCCCCCCCCCAGTGGGTGGCTCATTGGGGTGGCGTCCTGAGGAGAAGAGGGAGGGAGGGGATCGAGGTTCGCTTCTTAAAAGGGGGAGCGGTCGGGGTGGACTGGTTCAGGTGGGGAACGTCGGCCTGCAATCGGAGATGCGTCGCCGGTGGATCGGCGATACGCCGTCGTCAGCTAAACCGCACGTTCCTGGGTGGTGGGGCGAGCTATCAGGCCCACATCGACGATGAATGAGCGATTGGGGGTAGATGCTTCCCCCCCTGAGCCTATCTGGGCCTATCCCCCTTCTGACGTTGCCACCTTAGAGGGCAGAGAAATTACCTTCACAGTAAGCACCCCTACAAGCGAAGCCCTTCAGTAAGCGCACCTGCGGAGGGAATCGAACAGCAGGGTAGGGCCTTCTGGTAAACACCCAGGACTCTTTTTAGCAAACGGCACTTAGGGGGGTCGGGGTGCCTTTCCTACCGTGGTCTGCAAATTTTCGCGTTTCCTAGGCCTCTGCGGGATTCGCGTCGCCACGGACGGGTGTCCCTTGGCATCCCAACCAAGACGGTCTCCAAGACAGGTCTGGGAGCCGACTTTTCGATCCGGAGCTCTCGACGGCACGACATGAACCGTCCTCGAAGTTCTAGTGGAAACTCGCGCCAAAGAAAAGCCCGGGTATCGACTCTTGACCTGGGGGGGAGCTGCCTTCGGGGACACCGCCGGGTCGCACCCCTCGGGCCGGCCGCGCGCGGCCTGACCGTTCACTCCTGCCCCTCCCGTTCCTCCGCTCCCTTGAGGTCCTCTTCGGCATCCCCCTCGGCATCCAAGATGCCCCCTCTCAGGGCGGCGTGCGGCACGGCTGACAGCGTGGCCCTGGCCTGCGGAGACGCGCCAGGATCTCCCGCAACACGCTGGTGCTGAGCACGACGGGGCAGTGGCCAACTGCCCCAGTGGTCCTCCTCAACATCCTCCCGCCGCCCCTGTCGTCCTCTCATCCTCCCCACCCTCCGCTGTGAGGGCATGCGGTGTTGTGTTGGGTGACGCCAGCGTGGGGGCACTGAGCCGCCGCGACGGGCCTGCGGCCTCGGTCTGCCCTGCTCGCACGCGGTCCTGCACGCGCGCGCGGGAGCGCGGCAGTCACTCCCGGCCTCACAGCTCCAGGCCCCGGGCGGCGGCCTGGCCCCACCGCTGGGAGGCCGACAGCTGCTCGCCGGGAGCGTAGGGGGCCACGCGGACGACCCCGTGCCTCGCGAAGAGCCACACGACCACGTTCGTGCGCATGCCGCTCCGGAGCCTCAGCGCCCGGTGATGGTGCTGTCCGCGGTGGATCACGGCCATCCCCGGGCGGAAGGTGACGTTGCCCTTGGAGGCGGGCCGGGGCAGGGCGTAGATGCCCGACGCTTCGTAGTCGAAGAACTCGAGCTCGCCGCCAGTCCAGCCGAGGCGGCCCAGGCACAGGTTCAGCGTCGCCACGGCCGCGTCTCCGTGCTTGGCCAGCTCCGTGTCGCCCCCCGCCTCGTAGCGCACGGAGAACGCGTAGTGCTCCTCCGCGTCGGTGGCGGTGATGAGCTCGGGGAAGAGCATGCCGGCCAGGGGGCGCACGTACTTGGCCACGAGGCCCTGCAGGCAAGGCTCCAGGCCGACCTGATCGAGGATGACCCCGTACCTGTTCATGCCGTTGGGCCGGCGGCGGGGGATGCCAGAGCTCTCGATGTGCTCCAGCTCCTCCAGCAAGTCGCTCAGGAAGAGGTCGGTGAACAGGCGGTCGCTGGCGAAGACCCCAGGCACAACCTCGTCGAAGAGGGACCAGGCGGCGGCCTCGCCAGCGCCTCTGCGCGCAGCGGCCGCGGCCTCGCGCAGGTCCCCGTGCACGTACCTGCCCTCGAACCCCGGCCCGAACTCGTAGAGCGCCGGCCTGCGGGGCCGCAGCTCCGACCACGCCTCCGCGAGGAGGGCGTCGTGCTGCTCCCAGAACTCGTGGCCCTCGAACTCGCCCCTCTTCGTCCGCGAGGGCGCCGGCGCCGTGAGCGCGCGCGCCCTCTCGAGGGCGGACGCGCCCGTGGGGCCAGGCGCCGGCAAAGCGCCAGAGGCGGCGCAGCAGGGCGGCGCCCGCAGGAGAGCGCCGCCCACCGCCGCCGCCGCCTCGGCTCTCGCGGCGAGGCCTCTGCGGCGGGCAGCGCCGCGGGCCATCGCTCGGCGCGCGCGCGCGCGAGCGCCGTCCTCCTGCTGCCCCTGAGGAGCCCACAAAGGTTGTGGATGCCACGACAATGGACACCCTAACAGTCCTATCATTGAATGCAAGACGTGTTTCAAATGTCGGAAACATGTTCTAAACATGCTGGAAACATGCTTTTACACGTTAACAACATGTCTGACACATGTTTCAGACATCCGGAAAAAAAATGGCAACACGCTTCCTCTCCATGTATCGCCCTCCACAACACAAAGGGCACCGGCGGGCTCAGCACGTCAGGTTCGTGTCGTACCGACTTTGGAGTTGGTTTCTGACACCGCGGGGATCGTTCAACCTTGAACGATCGGCCGTTTCCGCAACGTCCAATCGCTCCACATCGAACGATTCTGGGTCCCCCGCGGCGTTCAACGTTGAACGCCGCTGGCGGGGTCGCCGCTGGTCGACACGACGCAAACCTACCGCACGCACGGGGTGGAGTCTTGGCAGGACGTGGCAGACGGGGGCGCACGTGGAGACCTCCGAGGGGAAGACTTGCTCCAGGAGCATCTGCGGGGAGCCGGATCGTCGACCCTCGAGGGTCCCGAGGTGCCTCTCAGAGTTGGGCGCCCGAGTTATCCGGGGGTTACTCGGGTCCGGGGTAACTCGGGCTTGGGTTCCCGAGAAAGGAACCCGAGTTAGCCCTGACCCGAGTTACCCCTGATGATTCGGGGCTCTGGACGCCCGAGTTGTCCGGGGTGACTCGGGTCCGGGATAACTCGGGCTTGGATTCCCGAAAAACGAACCCGAGTTAGCCCTGACCCGAGTTACCCCTGATGATTCGGGGCTCTGACAGAGCTTCGGCCCCTGTGGGCCCGCGAGGCCATCGGGGGAGAAGAGCTTTCTGTGGGCCACCTGCTGGCCAGGCCGATGTCTCCTTGGGTGCGCCTGCTGCACAGCCCGAGGGCGCCCACGAGACGGTGCGGTGGGGCCGCACGCCGGAGGCGTTCCGCGGCCCCCCACGGGGCGAAGCCACCGCTCAGGTTATATGTTGCTCCCATCGTACTCAGGGGCCGCGTTCCAGAAATCACTTCGAGCACCCAGGCAAGTGTCGAAAGAGTGTCGAAGGAGTGCCGCCTCCCAGGGCCCGACACGTGGAAACCATCAAGCTTCGGCACTTTCTGGGTGCTCGAAGTTCTGTCTGGCGATCGAGGCTAAGGCAGGTTGGAACATCATAACACTCGGGGCGCAAGGTGCCACCTCGCGCAATCGGAGCACTGGGCCTCCGCTCGTGCGAGCCCGCCTGTCACGTCGGACACGTCTGGGCCTGCTCGGGGGCGCAGGCCCTCGCGCTCCTCGCCTCTGGTGCCCCCCCGTGTGGTGTGCTCCCTGCTCGCGCCCTTTGCCCTGCTTCTCTCTCTCTCTCTCTCTCTCTCCGCGGCAGGAGGGGCCTGTAGGGCCAGGCCAGGGAGGCCGTCGGCGCCGTGGGGATGGGAAGGGGGCTCGCCATCGGGAGGCGGACAAGGGGATCGGCCGAGTCCGAAGCCTCCTGCGCCAGAGCGCCGCGCTCCAGAGACGCGCACGTCGAGCGAGCGCCCACCCTCTTGGAGAGCCACGCTCTTGCCGGCCGAACTGCGGAGCGCGCGGCGGCCGCCGCGAGATCCTCCTGGGAGCAGCGGGGCACGCTTGTGACTCACACGACCTACCAGGCAACCCCAACCCTTAACCCGAAGACCCGAATCTGACCCGAATTTCGGGTAGGGGCGGGGTACGGGTACAGCACCATGTGTTTTTACAGTGTCCCCCGCCCCCCCCCCCCACACTGGAGATGGATGGCAATTTGAAGCCTTCGGGCTGGGTTGGGGTGGTTTGGTGGGTGCTGACCCATGCCCCTCCTCGAGGGCCGCCCCCGCTCCGAGCTGCTGGGTGCTCCCGCTGCTGCTTCCCTCCCTGCCCGCGCTCCCCTCCCGAGGCCGCCGGGCCACGGGCTCTCGGCCCGCCGCCCCGCGACACCGTGGCGGCCGTGGCCTCTGCCCTCTCTCCGCCCAGGGGGGGGGCCGTGCGCCGAGCAGGCTGCCATGCACCACGCCCTCCGAGGCCCAAGCATATACACCACCGCCACCACCACCACCGCCACCGCCACCACCGCCACCACCACTACCACCACCACCACCACCACCACCACCACCACCACCACCACCGCCACCACCACCACCACCACCACCACCACCACCACCACCACCACCACCACCACCACCACCGCCACCACCACCACCACCACCACCACCACCCCCACCACCCACCCCCACCACCACCCACCACCTTCCGGGAAGAAACAAAAATAGGAGGGCAGAGGAGGGATGAGAAATCGACATGGTGGTGGTGGTGGTGGTGTATATTCTAGGGGCCCGCACGCCCGCTGCCCACCTCGTCCTCGGCGGGCCCGGCCCGCATCGGGTCTGCCGCACGCGCGTTGCTCGGGCGCCCCCAGGGTGCAACATGCCGAGCCCAGCAGAAGGAATGCGCGGCCGAGCAGGCTGGTCGGGGGGGGGGGCGGACCGGCACGTGCGGGGCGCGCGAGGGAGAGGGAGGAGGAGGAGGAGGAGGAGGAGGAGGAGGAGGAGGAGGAGAGGAGGAGGAGGAGGAGGAGGAGGAGGAGAGAGGAGGAGGAGGAGAGGAGGAGGGAGGAGGGGAGGAGGGGGAGGAGGAGGAGGAGAGGAGGAGGAGGAGGGAGGAGGAGGAGGAGGAGGAGGAGGAGGAGGAGGAGGAGGAGGAGGGGGCAGTCCCCAGAGAGGCAGGACACAGAGCTGGCCTCAGACTGCAGTGCATGCTCTCGTCCTTGCCGGGCTCCGCCCAGAGCTGGCCCTGGGGCTCCCTTGCCTGGCATCGCCCTGGGGGGCAGTCTGGCCCGCGCCTGGCCGCCAGTGGCAGCAGGAGCGTCCACACTCGACGGTAAAAGTCACCGACTGCACCGGCGATTCCGACAAGCGTCCACGGGAAAGGCCGCCCGCGTGTTGCCCCAGCATCTCAGCTGCTCGGTATGCGGGGAGCGTCCAAGACGGCCCAGTAATCGTTCCAAGGCGGCCGCCGAGGCCCCCAAGGGGGGCCAAGAGGACTACGGGACGGCCCCGAGAGGATCCCCAGTGGAAGAAACCCGAACTGATAGTTCGAGCCCTTCCCAAAAATGTGCACCCCGAGATCCCAAGAGGTCCCCCAGAGGACCCCAAGAGGCCCCAACAGACCTCCAAGAGGCCCCCTCGACTTCCCGGAGGCCCTCCGAAGTCAAACCGAACCTCTAAGAGGCCTCCCTCTGGTCCCAAGAGCCGACCGCGGTGGCGAGACGGGCCGACGTGCCACCAGACGGTAGGGCTCCACGCCGCGCGGCACTCTTGGAAGCGAGCAGAAACGTGGAATCCAAGGCCTGGCAGGTTCGAAGACCTAGAGTTGTGGATGCCACGACAATGGACACCCTAACAGTCCTATCATCGAATTGAAATGTGTTGAAAATGTAGGAAAATGTCCTGGAAATGTTGAAAACATGTTTTGTGTACCTTTTACAAGCAGCTTTAACACATGCTCTAGACATCTGGAATGTGTTTGGCAACATGCTTCCTCTCCATTGATCGTCATCCACAAGCCTAAAGAAAATCTACCATGCGGGGTGGATCAGGGCGCAAAAGTGCTCTCGCACAGCTGGGCAAAGCAGCCGACAGCGCACATTCCAGCGACCCCAGAGGTATGCGGGGGGATCAGGGCGCAAAAGTGCTCTCGCACAGCTGGGCAAAGCAGCCGACAATGCACACTCCAGCGACCCCAAGTTTGCCACAAAACCTACCAAACAAGCGTCCTAAAGAAGGGGGTCGATCAGTGGTGGCAGACCCATCCCAAGTCATCGAATCGGACCGCATGGACACGGAGTCGAAATCGAATCGGACTGGCCAGCGCCAGGATGCACCACAGCCCATGCAGGCAGTGGGCAGCGCATCGCACCGCCGGCACATCGGAAGCAGATCGGGCTGGCCGGAACCGATATCGAAGCGGAGCATACGGGCGAAGTGGAGAGGAGGAGGAGGAGGAGGAGAAGGAGGGGGAGGAGGAAGAGGAGGAGGAGGAGAGGAGGAGGAGGAGGAGGAGGAGAGGCGAGGAGTGAGGAGGAGGAGGAGGAGGAGGCGGAGGAGGAGAATGGAGGGAGGAGGAGGAGGGAAGGAGAGAAGGAGGACGGAGGGAGGAGGTGAGAGGAGAGAGGGAGGAGGAGGAGGAGGAGCAGGCAGGAGGAGGAGGAGGAGGGAGGTGGCCAGGGCCGAGGGCGCCCTCGAGGCTCCGAGCAGCCCGCCCCCGCGAGGACTCCTTCGCGAGGCACGCGCGCAACCCCCCCCCCCTCGGAGAGAACCCATGGGGCCCACGCCCGGCTGGAGAGAGCGGCGCGGGCCCCAGGCCCGAGGGCCAGCGAAGGAGGCGCCCCGCGACGCGCCGTCGTCTTCGCGCCCTCGCCGTCGTCGGCGTCGTCGTCGTCGTCGCCGTCGTCGTCGTCGTCGTCGTCGTCGTCGTCGTCGTCGTCGTCGTCGTCGTCGTCTTCGTCGTCGTCGTCGTCTTCGTCGTCGTCGTCATCGTCGTCGTCGTCGTCGTCCTCGTCGTCGTCGTCGTCCTCGCCGTCGTCGTCGTCGTCGCCGTCGTCGTCGTCGTCGTCGTCGTCGTCGTCGTCGTCCTCGTCGTCGTCGTCCTCGTCTTCGTCCTCGTCGTCCCCCCGAGGGCGCGGGGACGACGGCGGGCGGGGCCCGCCTGCAGTGCCCGATGGGAGGGCGCCAGGACCTCCGGAAGCCTCAGAGCACGCAGAGGAATAGGTATACCGTCGGACTCGATTGGAGAGGGCACGCGAGAGGACACAAGACCCTTCCGAGGGCCACATCGCCGTAGGAATGTAGACAGCGTGGGTCGCGAACCACAGGACACAAGGGTACCCTTGATCTGGCAGGGTCGACCTACTAATCCGGGCCGACTGTATGCCAACGTTTGAGCAGGGACCGACCGACCCGGCATTTCTATAGGCCTATACCACGAGATGTT